TTATAAAAATATGCATCAATTTGTACTATTTATTTTGTGCAAGTGTTAAATTATTGTATATATACACAAGATCTTTTATTTTGTTAAAATCAGGCAATAGTGCATTACTAAATGTACTATTACCAGTGGTTTTAAGTGGAATAACTGAAATATATGCCAAACCTTTGGTTAATTTCTGTGACCTGATAAATAAAGAACTGTTCCTTTTGCATGTTTTTTTTGTTGTGAGAAATTTCACACACACACACACACACTTAATATTAACTGTTATAAACAACTCCCAGTTTACTGAATAAGACTATATCCGGCGAGTAAAAATGCTATCTCCCCCAGATTTGTCGGGGTTCCTACATCCATGGCTATGCCCACACATCAAATTATGGAGAAAATTAAATGGTCCAGGTACTCAAGGTCAATTCTATAGAGGCTTTATTGGAAAACAGAACGAAATAACAATGTTTCAACCTACAAAGAGGTACTTGCCAAGCTTTTTAAAGATCTCTTTGCAGGTCAAAACATTGCTACTTCATTCTGGTTTCCAATAAAGCTGCTATAGAATTGACCTTGAGTGTCAGGACCATTTGATTTTCTCCATTATTATTATTATTGCCATTTATACAGGGCCAACAGATTCCGTGGCACTTTTATGGGAGGGGGGATTTAACTATAAATAGGACAAATACAAGGAAACTTACAGAAACGATAGGTTGAAGAGGACCCTGCTCAAACGAGCTTACAGTATATAGGGGCTGGGGTATAAAACACAATAGGACAGGAAATAGAATCCAAATAAAGTTGGAGTTAAAGGACCACTATAGTGCCAGGAAAACATACTCGTTTTCCTGGCACTATAGTGCCCTGAGGGTGCCCCCACCCTCAGGGTCCCCCTCCCGCCCGGCTCTGGAAGGGGGAAAGGAGGTAAAACTTACCTTTTTCCAGCACTGGGCGGGGAGCTCTCCTCCTCCGATCCTCCTCCGTTCCTCCCCGTCGGCTGAATGCGCACGCATGGCAAGAGCTGCGCGCGCATTCAGCCGGTCGCATAGGAAACCATTCATAATGCTTTCCTATGGACGCTGGCGTACTCTCACTGTGAAAATCACAGTGAGAAGCACGCAAGCGCCTCTAGTGGCTGTCAATGAGACAGCCACTAGAGGAAATAGGGGAAGGCTTAACCCATTCATAAACATAGCAGTTTCTCTGAAACTGCTATGTTTATGAAAAAATGGGTTAACCCTAGAAGGACCTGGCACCCAGACCACTTCATTAAGCTGAAGTGGTCTGGGTGCCTAGAGTGGTCCTTTTTGAGCAGTGCTGAAGGAGAGAGTAGAGTGCTGCCCTTTAGGAGAGAGCAAGAGACAGGTATGTAAGGTAGAGGTTACTCTGGGAGGCCATAAGCTTTCCTAAAGAGATGGGTTTTAAGGCACTTCCTAAATGATTGAAGACTAGGAGAGAGTCTGATGGCAGGCTATTCCATAGGAAGGGAGCCACCCGCAAGAAGTCCTGGAAGGGTGAGTTGTCCGTACGCGTGCAGGCAACAGACAGGAGAAAGTCACGGGCAGAGCGGAGAGACCGAGAAGGGGCATACCTATGAATCTGTGAAAAGATATGAGGGGCTAGAATTGGTCATTGCTTTATAGGTATAGGTTAGCACTTTGAATTGACTCCTATAGGATACAGGAAGCCAAAGTAAGCCAATGTAAGGGGTAAGAGGACCGGCTAGAGAGGAAAATCAGTCTGGCGGCAGCATTCATTACAGACTGTATCGGGATAATACGGTTTTTGGGAAGACTAATTAGGACAGGGTTACTATAATTCATGCAGGAAATTAAAGATAATGAACTATGGGATGGAATTCCTGGCTAAACATACCAATGCATCCACTTCATGTAAAGTTTAAAGGCTACGGCTGCTAAATTTTGCACCTTTCTAAGCACCGCTTGGGTCTCATGGACCTACTTGGGCCTTATGTAGGGCTGGTCCTGACTGCCAATATTGTTAGTTTTCTGTTGAAAAGCACTGCTTAGTAAATAAAGACCGTAGAGTTCATTGAATAAGGAAACCAACCATTAACAATAGAAGATGTTACATGGGTAGATGCTTTCCTTCTGTTGTTCTCAAGCACTACAGCTTTAACCATCCACTTCACATTTTTTAATCCACAGCCCTCGAGGATGAAATTGTGAAGAGCCAAATCTTTCAGCTCCATTCTGATTGCTGCCGAGAACTTGGGCTACTCAGCGTGACGCCAGCGACAGTTTGAATGAAGAGGCGCTGAACGCTTTATCGATTTCTTTCTCATCCGTGAATCTTCTGTGGGTCGGCTTGAGTGACCACAGTGCCAAGGACAACATCATTAATATGCGTCTCTCCCCTCCTCTGATGCCTAACCCCCGGAACGATACGAAGAGAGGAAGGGAGAGAATGGTGCTCCTTTCTGCCAGAAAGCCTGGCCTCATTGTGCAAGAGAGATTACAGTCTGTGAATAAACTAAACAGCCTTATTTATAAGCAGCAAAATGCTTGTGCGCCTCGCTGCTAATTCAACTTCAGAAGCAATATTGTTGAACTTGAAATTTCAGCTAAATCTACATTCAAAACAAGTATCCCTAAAAAACCTATATGTCTTTAATATCCTCTGCTTGGAGTAGAGAAGAGATTAGTATTTGATAGGAAAACCAGGGATCAGAAAAGAAAACTATGTGCATCTGATGTCCAAAACGTCATGTTCAGAATCCAGAATCCTGGAGACACACATATAATGTGGACAAATCACAATTTACAGAAATAATTCTGTTTGTTTTAAAGTGACCTCCAAGAACTAGAAACAAAGACATTTGTAGAAAGTGAATTGAAACATTGGGGGTTTTCATTAACCTTTTAGGTTCCAGAGAGTTAATAGATTGCATTCAATCTTCTTAGTACCTAACGGGTTACACAAATATGTTGGTAACTTTTCCTCCACTAGCTGCTATGCTGGGGTTGTTCCCTTCTAAGACACGATATTTGATTTTGTTTGAGTTTCTGTAATATTACCTGCAGTTACTAGTCCATTATGGCATCTCCTTTGAAGTTTTAAAGAGGATATGTCAATAGCCAGATTATTGGTACTGTTACTTTAGCGATTCTGAACAGAATATAAAAAAAGACTAAAAGACACTGTGCCAAGCTAAATTTAACAGAGCTATGTTAGGCTTCACTACCCTGGAGACTGTGAGAGCAATATTCTAATAATTTCTCATGTGGCGGTCCGCCAATATATCACCGCTACGGATTCTCTTCTCCCCAAATAAAACAGCTCCAATAATCCTGAAGTAAAATATCGCCAGTATCACATATCCCCCCACACATGAGCCAAGGCTTGATACTGGGAGTAGAACTATTTAATGGAAACACAGTCACAAAATGTATACATGTACAAAACTCCTCCCTTGTGCCTGAGAGAAAATTGAGTCAGGAACTGTACAAACTCAATTATCTCCAGGGACAGAAAACATAACACGGAAATCCCCACAAAAGTTACATCCCCAGATAGCCCTGATCTGAGTGACCATCATATCCAAAAATCACTCAGATCGGCTCGGTAGTTTTGGATTGCAATCTCGGGGAAGTTTTGACCGGTCTGCCATGAGGTCGAAGCCCAAAATAGTTCCAGTGAATTTGTGGCAAGAGCCGATCTCCGTTCGCTGGGTTTTTGTACAAAAACCACATAGTTCATACGAAATCTGATTAGTGTAGAATGCTCCCCTCATTTGGTAGTTCATATCTCCCGAACGCCGTTCGTATAGGTGGTCGGGAATTCTAACAGGCACAAGGTCTATCTTCACCGGCGTTCACGGGCGTGCCTGGCCGAAATCATTTCCAGACACTCGACGACCAAGTCTCGCTGCCTGCATTCAACAAGATGGCGGCCATCCATTCTGCCAACCACGTGCATTCGGTTGCACAAAATGGCGGCCACCCAGTGAAGCATTCTATTAATTGTTTCCTTTGCGGTTTTTGTACTTTACACTTCAGTGTTCCATGTTCTAATGATGTTCTGGGATGATCCTCATTCGGGAACCGAACAAGGTGTGTACAAATAAAATAAACGAATATCCATAAACAAAATATGCCGAACCAAGTGAAAGGGTGTATTCCTTTACACCTTATATCCCAGTTTGTAGGGGTACACGTTTAATATAGCAGCTGCATCCAGGACTTATTGCTATTTTCTGCAGTGTAACTCCGCCCCTTAGCCAAGCTCTCTCTTTTCACAATTCAGCTTCCTTATAGTTGTACCCTGAGGAAGTAGTCTAACCAGCCAAAAAGACATCAGTGCAATATCATTTGCTGATATGATTCGTACAGTTATTGATCCCACAGTCACTGTGCACTTATTGTCAGCCCACTTTTGCCTTATCATGGCTTTGACATACTATACAGATAAGAGGACAGATATTGAGTGCAGGGCAAAGTCAAGTCAGCAGCTCAGCTTACACTGATTTGTCACAGGCTTTCTACACTGTTTCTAATTATGAAAACATTCTGTGAAAGAGGGAGGTATGGCTAAGCAGGGCGGGTTTATGATGCAGCTCTATATTTGCAACTCCTTCAAAAACGTTTCAAATCATCTATCTACAAAAATTACCAGATTTTACTAATTTCATGACGTAAAGTCATGATTTTATAAAGGACACGGAGGCGAGTATTATGCTTCTCTCTTTCTTTTATTCTTCAGCAGCAAAAGAAATATAGTGTATATATTCAATGCAAAAAGGGAAAAAACAATTCAATAACACCACATCATACTTCTAAAGGGTTAATCAGATACCACATATGAACCAATCAGAGTGTCCCCATTACCACAAAGTCCCATGTGACCCTAAGCCACTCCTCTTTCTTTTGTTGTTGTTGATGGACACTCCAAAATTCAGCAGTGAAAATTCCAAACAGTGGACGTGTAAAGAAAAAACAGCGAATCCAATAAAAGATGACGTCAGACGAAAACTCAACAAATCCGTAAGAAACTGGTCATCTTCCATCCGCACACTTGTGGGCATGCCTGAAACCATTATGGCACTCCAATTAGGAAGCTGTAAAACAGAGAAACGAGATGGTAAAATATGTTCTTGGATAATATTTTTCCACGTTCATAATCCAAACTAACTAGCACAACATCATTCTCAAGTTAGTCATTCAAAAGCAATAAGATAGCACATTATTACACGGTTCCATTCCCATAACATGTATTATATTCCCAGAGGCGGGCAACTTACCTCTCGTGGGTGGGATAATACTCGCCTCCGTGTCCTTTATAAAATCATGACTTTACGTCATGAAATTAGTAAAATCTGGTAATTTTATTAAAGGACACGGAGGCTCCTATTATGCTAGTTCAAAGCTGTGTGATCACCGACGTGGAAAAATGGGAAACCGGACGGAAATAAAATTCACGGAATGTAGATTCTCTCGACCAGTCGGCAGCTCGGAGGAGATCTTCCAATTTACAGCCTAATGAAAACGCTTTTGATGCCATCGCACCCCTCACTGAGTGTGCTCCATATGTGGAAGTATCAATGCCTGCCGACGTCATGATCCATTTGACCCAGCGAGATAGGGTGACTGTAGAAACTGGACGATGCGGTTGTCGAATGGCCAGGAATAGGTCCGCCCATTGAGGGTCTCGGACCGCAGCCGTCCTTGCTTCATACTCCTTAAGGCAGGATACTGGGCATAAGTTACTGTTGTGTGTAAAAGCGGGGTAAAAAACCTTCGTGATGGACGTTTTTGTACGCCTCGATATATCAAAGGCCACCCCTTCCGGTGTATATGAGCGTGCCTGAACGTCCAATGCTCGTACATCTGAGACCCGCTTACAGGAGATGAGGCAGAACAAAGTGGCCAATTTCGCGGTGAGTTGTTTGATTGACAAATCTCCGTTCTGCGGCCAACTTTCAAAAAGTCGGAGAACGAGGTTCACATCCCATAACTCGGAATACCGAGGTCGTGTTGGTCGTGCAAATCTTATGCCTCGTAGGAGTCGACACACCATTGGGTGTTTCCCTGTTTGAATTCTGTTCCAACCTACATGGCCTGCCGAGATAGCTGATCTATAGAGATTAATTGTACGATATGCCAGGCTGTGGTCGAAAAGTGAAGTAAGGAAACCCAGGACGTGACTCACAGTTGCAGATATGGGATCCACGTGTTGTTCCACGCACCAACCATACCATGCGTTCCAGGCATGTAAATATGATTTCCTTGTGCCAGGGGCCCAAGCTCCTGCCAGGAGGTCCAGAGTCGTTTGTGGAACATTTCGGGTGTCCTCGAGTCCCCTGAAAGGAGCCATGCCAAAAGCTTGAGATGTCCCTGTAGTATGAGAGGGTGCGGATTGCCATAGGGATCCAAGAGGATGTTGTCGTGTACTGGCAGTAACCTCGGTAGATCTATGGACAGTTCCAGGAGTGTAGGGAACCAGGGTTGAGACGTCCAGAATGGAGATACGAGGATTAGGGATGTCCGGTGCCGTCTGAGGTGCAGCAAGGTCCGTGCGATGAGAGAAAAGGGGGGAAAAGTGTAATGCCTGGTGTGCGGCCACGGTTGTCGGAAAGCGTCTGCCGCCAGATCCTCCGGATCTGGCCTCCAGCTGAAAAACTTCGGCAACTGCGTGTTCAGCCGTGACGCGAACAGGTCGATGTCCAGCGGCCCCCACAGTGAGTGTAAATGGCTGAAAACGGCCGGGTTCAACCGCCAGTCGCCGGCATCCTGTAGATGTCTGGAGTTCCAATCCGCTACTACATTGCTCATCCCCGGGATGTGTTCCGCTTGCACTGATATGTTGCGGTCCAGGCAGAACTGCCAGAAATCCTTTGCCAATTCCGCAAGTATTGCTGACCTCGAGGTGATTGATATATCAAACTGCGGACACGTTGTCCATGCGTAACAGGATGGAACAGTTGGTCGACATGTTCAAGAGACTCCGTAAAGCAAACGAACCTGCCAACAGTTCGAGGCAATTGATATGAAGTCCCTGTTCCTCCCTGGACCATCTTCCTCCGGTGGAGAAAGGTCCGCAGCGCGCACCCCAACCGAGCAAACTGGCATCGGATTCGACTACGAGGTCTGGCGCCGTTACGAAGATCGCGCGGCCATTCCAGGCTTCCATGTGTTGTAGCCACCATTTGATTTCCTCTTTGGCGGCACAGTCGAGAGGAACAGAGTCGGAGTATGAGTGCCCCAAACGAAGGTATTTTGCCTTCAACCGTTGAAGTGCTCTGTAATGTAGGGGTCCGGGGAAAATGGCCTGAATTGACACCGAGAGGAGGCCTACAATCCTGGCCAGCTGTCTCAAAGTAAGGACAGGACGTGTGAGCGTCCTCCTGAGCTCCTTTTTGATGGCCTTGACCTTGGTCGCTGGGAGTAGGAGTGTTCCGGTCACCGCGTTTATGGTGAATCCCAGAAATTCTATAGCCTGCAAGGGCTCGATGACCGACTTCTCCCAGTTGATCAGAAAGCCCAGGTTTTCTAACAGATTCCTCGTCCAGGAGAAGTGTTCTTGCAACAGAAGCGGGTCCTGGGCCATGATGAGGATATCGTCCAGGTATATTATGAGCCTGTAACGGAGCTCCCTGTACTCCGACCGAGTACCCTCCGTTGATGGATGCTCCTAGCGCTTCCTGAGGACTCCAAACACTGCAGCAGACACCACAACCACCGCAGACTCCATAACCGCCGTAGCTTAACTGGAGTCTCGCCGTCTTCCTTCCACCCTGGATCAGCTTCTGTCCTCCAGGACCGTGTGGGGAAGACCTCTCCTCCAGGAGAGCGTAACAGGAACAGCTCTTAAAAGAGCTAAGTGATTAAAAGCTCAGGGGAGTATGCAGAGCATAGCAATCCCCAGTGTGATATAGCAGTTCCCTCCAATAACGAGACAAGGCTACGTATTGAGGGTCAAGAAGATCTGATGTTTAATGGCACACACTCTGCTTTTATGAGATTCTGCCCATGCAAGGGAGACACCCACATAATTAGCAGTATAACCAATCGGAACAATATACATTCGGGGAAATTCCCATCCCTCAGATAATCACATAACATAATTAAAACAGAACAGTAAAAATACAGTTTTTATACATGTACTATAACTTCCAAACTACACATCCAATCTTCATAAAAATTACATATTTGGAATCAATCCATTAAGGGGAGCAACATATTAAAAAATGGCACAAATCAGACAAGGGGTTCAAAAGTTAGCAAAAGTGTCTTTTGGGGCCTGGCTGGCAGCATGGTTTTCTGGCCCAAACCGGTTTTACAGAGGCCTCTATCCTGGACAATGGGGAAAGTAATCCAATTATCCAGGGATAGAGGCAGACTCCATTAACCACATGTTAGCAAAAGACACAAAAAGACACAAAAATACATAACTCCTATTGAACTGAACAGAACCCCCACATTCAACCTATCCCCAGATGGCTTGGATCTGAGCGCTCAATATATCCAAACAGCGCTCAGATCCCACAAATACAGTCAAATCGCCATACACACTAGGTCCATAGTCATGGGGCAGAAGGCTGGCAATTAGGCTTCTCCATAACACAGGGAAGCAGGGCAATTTGTCAAATAAAATAACAGTTACAAATGGCAGTTTGTAACATATCTCCCCTTTTGGAGGGAGACTAACCAGGCACCTGACCTCCTGTCGGTCAGTGCCTAAGTTAGTCTCGCAGCCCACCCACAAATAACAAGTAGCAAAGTAGCCCCCCCACAATAAACAGTACTGGCCTGTAGGTTCCAGGTTGTAGGATGAAAATGCAGCATCCTCTGCCTTCCTGGTGCAGCTGGGCAAATAGCTGGTGGTACTTGGGGGGCAGAGGCCAGCGGCGCTCTGCCCTGATGCCCGCACTTCTGCTGGGGAGAGGGGGTTGCAGACCAGTCCTGTAACAAGGGGGTCGGTAGGGCAGAGGCCAGCGGCGCTCTGCCCTGATGTCAGCTCTTCCGCTGGGGTAGCCGGCAGAATGTCACGCTCTGTACAAGGGACACAGGGAGGGCAGAGGCCGACTGCACTCTGCCCAGCTGCCAGCTCTTCCGCTGGTATAGCCTGCAGGACATCAGGCTCTGGACAAGGGACAAAGGGAGGGCAGAGGCTGACTGCACTCTGCCCAGCTGCCAGCTCTTCCGCTGGTATAGCCTGCAGGACATCAGGCTCTGGACAAGGGACAAAGGGAGGGCAGAGGCCGACTGCACTCTGCCCAGCTGCCAGCTCTTCCGCTGGGGTGCTGGGAACATAGTCCGGCTCAGTAGCCAGGGGAACATGGGAGTCAGTGGGGGTTAACATCTCCTCTGTTAACCCTGGGGCCAAGTTAGGAGTTAGCTGGGGAGGGGAATTCGTACTTACCCCCTCTTCCTGTTGTCCCTGTGAGGGTAGTTGGGGATCTGGACAGGCTGTCCAGCATCCCTGTAGGTCAGGCACAGAGACCACGGTCCCATCTGCGCCATCTGGGAGATTGGTGTCTCCCCTTTGTAGGGTAAGCTGCCGCTGGGGAGATAGGGTGCTGTGCTCCTCTCCCTGAAACACAGGCTGCCGCTGGAGAGGGAGACCGCCTGTCTCCACTCCCATAACATTGTCCTGCTGCTGGAGAGAGAGACCAACTGTCTCTGCTCCCTGTAGGACACACTGCTGCTGGGGAGGAAGGACGACACCTTCGGGGCACTGCCGCTGGAGACTAGGTGTCCATATCCTCAACCTCCACAGTTGTCGCTCAAAGGCCATTGCCGCACTGTTCTTCAACTGGCGCATTACTTGGTGGACCACCTCGTTCGAAAGGTCTGGGCCATGCCTCTTTACAATGTAAGCGTCGTCCTCGTAGCGACGAGACTAGGTGTCCATATCCTCAACCTCCACAGTTGTCGCTCAAAGGCCATTGCCGCACTGTTCTCAGCACTCAACTGGCGCATTACTTGGTGGACCACCTTGTTCGAAAGGTCTTGGCCATAGCAGACCAACCGCCTCTTTACCTCCTCAATGTAAGCGTCGTCCTCGTAGCGACGTATCATGTTGAGGTGCTCTTTGCAGGGCTCTGTCCATCCCTGCTCCATGCTGCTGTAGTTAGGGACGCTGCACAGTGGCTAGCTCTGTCCATCCCTGCTCCATGCTGCTGTAGTTAGGGACGCTGCACAGTGGCTAGCGTTGCCCTCAATAACCTCTCATACGATACCAGTGTCTCCGAGCTGCTTCTCCTCCCACCGCTGCCACCAATGTAACGGAGCTCCTTGTACTCCGACCGAGTACCCTCCGTTGATGGATGCTCCTAGCGCTTCCCGAGGACTCCAAGCGCTGCAGCAGACACCACAACCACCGCAGACTCCGCAACCGCCGTATCTTGACTGGAGTCTCGCCGTCTTCCTTCCACCCTGGATCAGCTTCTGTCCTCCAGGACTGTGTGGGAAAGAACTCTTCCTTCCACACTGTATGAACCTCCAGCATCCAGGATTGTGTGGTGAAGACCCCTCCTCCAAGGAGAGCATGTCAGGAACAAGCTCTTAAAAGAGCTAAATGACTCAAGCTCAGGGAAGCATGCAGAGCATAACAATCCCCAGTGTGATTATAACAGCTCCCTCCAATAACGAGACAAGGCTACGTTTAGAGGGATCAAGAAGAACTGTCAAAACCTTTATTTCCCTTGGGACCAGCCAATAGGGTCACCACAATAACATTGTTGTGAAACCTCAATAAAATCACAAACAGTCAAACCATAACAAGCAACACACAGTGACTTATCACAACACAATGGCACATTTTTAAAGGGGTGGGGGGAGACAATATATAACAGTAAATATCTCACCTGCCTGCAGAATTAGCAATATGCAAATCTACCCGAATATGCAAATGAACCAGTCTTGCAATTCAGGTAGTGTATATTGCTGTTGCTACCAACAGAGGGCACTAGACAAGCTCCATAGCCAAACCCACCTAGTTGGTAGCAAACCTCAGCAATACAAGAGAGCAGGCAATACATTACACAGCACACACACACACTATAAACAATTACATTACACACACCCTGCACCTATAATGGGTACAGGGTGACTAAAACATAAGATAAATAAAGCAGCCTACATAAATAGTCTGTCTGAAGGTAGACTACGGGCTTTAAAGCCAGATACATGAAAAAGTCATAGTCACAGGGGAGGAGGCTGGCAAGTAGGCCTCTCCAGGACCAAGTGGCGAAGGGCACTTCGTCACAGAGCCGTACGCCCCTGCTGCGTAGGAGGGCCACCATTGGTTTCATGAGCTTTGTGAAGCACCAGGGAGCCGATGAGAGGCCGAACGGTAGGCATTGGATTCGCCACATGTTCCCTTCCCAGCGGAATTGCAGGAAGTGGTGGCAGTCGTCGGCCATTGGGACCGTGAGGTATGCGTCCTTCAAATCGAGTTTGACCATCCAGTCCCCTGTGAGGAGGAGGTCCCGTAGGGAGTGTATACCTTCCATCTTGAAATGGTGGTATGTGACAAACATGTTTAAAGGTCTCAAGTTGATGACTGGGCGGACACCTCTGCCTTTTTTGGGTACCAAGAATAGGTTGCTTAGGAAACCCGGTGTGGTAGAGGGAACCGTATAGATTGCCCCTTTTGAGGCCTGGACCTCTTGAGTTATCAACTCCCGGTCCCGTGTGGAGAACACCATTCGGCCGGGGGGTTCCAATTGGACTGGGTATTGTACGAAGTCTATAGAATAACCCCGGACCGTGTGGAGCACCCAGGCATCTGCCGTGATCATGTGCCATGCTTTGACAAAATGGCCCAGTCTGCCCCCCACCATAGTTAATGCAGACATATGAGGAGGTAGCGCACTTACCATAAGGCCGTCGGCCATATGAAGAGCCTCTGGGTCCTCGGGAGTGCCATGGTCTGCTTCGAACCGGGAAAAATGGTGAGGCTTGCTTGGGTTCCGGGGGTGTGAATCGAGGTTGTACAGAGCCACGAGAGCCCCGGTACGAGCCCCGGGGCGAGCGGCCGGGCAGACGGCCACGATATCTGCCGGTCCCGCCAAAAACCCTCTGGTGGAACACTCGTTTCATGCTGGCCTGAGCCTTATCAAGTGCTGTAAAGGTGCCCACATACGTGCCTAGTTCTTTCACAAAGTTATCCCCGAATAAGAGGGCTTTAGCCTGGGGACCTGGTTCTGAGATTGCCAGATTAACTAGTTTAGGCTCAATTTTTATTAAAATCGCCTTGCGCCTTTCTGTGGCCACTGCCGTATTTGCGTTGCCCAGGAGACACACGGCACGTTGGATCCACCCCCGAAGGGCTTCTAGGTCCAGCGGTGTACCCCCTGCCAACGCGATTTTGACCATATCGAACATCCTCGCGATCGGGCCAAGGATGTCCAATACTTTATCCTGGCAATTACGCCAGGCAAAATCCAGGCCCTTCTTGGCCTTCCAGCCAGATTTTCCCAGGAATTGGGCGATTTTTGGGTCCATTTCCGGGGTGGCGCATGCCATATCCGGGACCGTGGGGCGTGGGCACTCTGCCCGCAGCTTGTTCCGCGCCACCTTATCCAGTGGCTTTCTGATGCGGGCAGCAATATATTTTGCTATGTGGTCCAGAGGGTACCACTCGGAGGACCTCGGGTGCTGTAAGGTATCCGGGTCGAACAAAGGTTCGCCCTGCGGGTCAATCAAAGCTGAGTCGTCAGCTCCGTCCTTATGGTCCATATCCATGCCCGTGGCGGAGCTATAGTCCCGCAAGTGAGTCTCAGTAGAGTCCTCATTATAATCATCAGAGTCCTCCTCTTCGGACTCGCTCTGAGCCTCCTCTAGCTCCGAATCAGAGTCGGAGGATTCCAGTAGGGCCTTAGCCCTCTTCCATTTCCTCACCGATTTTGCCCGGTGGGGGGCTCTTAGTTGTGGTCCAACCACAGGTTCTGTGACAGGACGTGCCCTGTCCGTCTGTAGGGTTTTGGAGGCATAATCGTCCAAATGACGAGATTTTTTAGCGGCCTTACGCCCACCAGGGGCCACCGGCTTATTCTCTGGGGGGTTAGCCGTGGGGTTAGCAGGTAATTGCGTGGCTCTCATTGCCGTAGTTATGGAATGGGATAAATTCTCTGACATGGCACCCATGGCAGTAACTATGGCCTGCGTTACAGACTTCGCCATAGCCGCGTCCAAGAGGGAATGCAATTCCTCTGAGTCCATATGCTCTTGCGCTGAGTCCAACGCAGTGGGCATTTTGGGGCCCTGAAGGGGAGGGGTGGGCATGGTGGCCCTAGATGTAGTGGCACTATAGGCACTGTGGTCAGCCTGCCTAATTGGGATGGATGGCAGAAACTTATATAGGCAAGGCTGAGACTTATAACCCCAGCACAGGTAACAAATTGACTAACTCCCAACAACAGTAATATTACCAATATATATATATATATATCTATATGTTACCAGGCACCAGGCACCAATGTGGGCAAGGCACAACAAAACTATATAAAGCAACAACAATTACAGCAAGCTCACCGAGTGTTCCCTCAGGAATAAGCTCCTGGGGAACACAGGGAGAGTTTGCCCAGCGACAGGGAGAAATTCCAGCCCCCAAAAGCACGGTATTGGCCGCGCTAGCCAAAGCGCGGCAAAATTGCCCTTCCTCAAGATGACCGCCGCGATGCGCACTTGCGTTGTGCGCATGCGCGGGCGGCCGCGACGGCGGATACCGCGGGCCGCCGGGACCGCTACCAGCAGCGGTACCCGTGCGTGGGGGGAGGACACCCCAAAGGGGGAGAGGGCGGCAAGAGGAGACACAAACGGTCGGGAAATAAACAAACCGACCGGAGGTAGGAGGGGGGGGGGACAGGGGAAAGGTAGAGAGGGCAAAGACCTAACGGTTCAATTAAAGGAGACAACAATACACAAATAAACCCTGAGGGGAAAAAAGAAAACCATTTAAAACAAAGTTATTGAAAAACCAGGCTAGTAACTGACAGCAACAGAGGAAGGAGAAGAAATTGCTACTTATCTGAGGCTGCAGCAGCAAAAGAAAGAGGAGTGGCTTAGGGTCACATGGGACTTTGTGGTAATGGGGACACTCTGATTGGTTCATATGTGGTATCTGATTAACCCTTTAGAAGTATGATGTGGTGTTATTGAATTGTTTTTTCCCTTTTTACATTGAATATATATACTATATTTTCTTTTGCTGCTGAAGAATAAAAGAAAGAGAGAAGCATAATAGGAGCCTCCGTGTCCTTTAATAAAATT